TACCCAAAATGTAGCTGCTGGATCACACAGGAATTTTATTTGTGAGTTTCTGAGGAATAGTCATAGGGCTTTCCACAGGAGCTGCACCGTTTGAGTTTCCCAACAGTGGCAAGTGTGAGATTTCTTCACATCCTTGCCAACATTTGTGAATTTCTGTGTTTTTTTTAATAGTAGCCATCTTTAGAGTTGTAAGGTGGTATCTCATTATCATTTCAATTTGCATTTCCATAATTAGTGATGCTGAGCATTGTTTCATGCACTTATTGGCTATTTGTATATCTTCCTCAGAGAAATGTTTTCTCTGCATTATTTGTTGAAATGACTGTCCTTTTCCAGGGAGCCCGGATGGCTCAGTCGATTAAGTGTCTGACTCTTGATTTTGGCTCAGGTCAGACTTGGCTTGGCACGGAGTCTGAGGGAGATTCTCCTTCTCCCTCTGTCCCTCCTCCGATTTGCATGCTCTCTCTCTTTCTCTAAATAGATAAGTAATAAAATCTTAAAAAAAAAAAAGGGATTGACATCTACAAGTCAATCAATGTGCTATATTAATAAAAAAAAATACAAGAACCATATGATACTCTCGGGGTGCCTGGGTGGCTCAGTCAAACGGCTGCCTTCGGCTCAGATCATGATCCCAGAGTCCTGGGATGGAGCGCCACATCAGGCTCCCTGCTCATAAGAGAGCCTGCTTCTCCCTCTGCAATCCGCTCTGCCTACTTGTGCTCTCTCTCTATCTCTCTGTCAAACAAATAAATAAAATCTTAAAAAAAGAGAAACATATGATAGTCTCAATAGATGCTGAAAAAGCATGTGACAAAGTACAGCATCCTTTCTTGATCAAAACTATTCACAGTGTAGGGATAGAGGGCACATACCTCAATATCATCAAAGCCATGTATGAAAAACCCACAGTGAATATCATTCTCAATGGAGAAAAACTGAAAGCTTTTCCCCCAAGGTTGGAAACATGGCAGGGATGTCCACTATCACCACGGCTATTCAACATAGTACTAGAAGTCCTAGCTTCAGCAATCCCAACAACAACAACAACAAATTAAAGGCACTGAATTCACAAAGAAAAAGTCAAACTCTCACTCTTTGCAGATGATAAGATACTTTATGTGGAAAACCCAAAAGACTCCACCCCAAAACTGCTAGAACTCATACAGGAATTCAGTTTTGTCAGGATATAAAATCAATGCACAGAAATACGTTGCAATTCTATATATCAACAAGAAAACAGAAGGAAGAGAAATTAAGGAGTCAATACCATTTACAACTGCAACCGAAACCATAAGATACCTAGGAATAAATTTAACCAAAGAGGAAAAGAATCTGTACTCAGAAAACTATAGAATACTCATGAAAAAATTGAGGAAGACACAAAGAAATGGAAAAATGTTCCATGCTCATGGATTGGAAGAACAAATATAGTGAAAATGTCTATGCTACCTAAAGCAATCTACACGTTTAATGCAATCCCTATCAAAATACCATCAACTTTTTTCAAAGACATGGAATAAATAGTCCTAAAATTTGTATGGAACCAGAAAAGACCCTGAATAGCCAGAGGAATGCTGAAAAAGAAAACCAAAGCTAGTGGCATCCAAGTCCAGACTTCAAGCTCTATTACAAAACTGTCATCGTCAAGACAGTATGGTCCTGGCACAAAAACAGACACATAGATCAATGGAACAGAATAGAGAGCCCAGAAATGGACCCTCAACTCTATGGTCAACTAATCTTTGACAAATCAGGAAAGAATATCCAATAGGAAAAAAAAAAAACAGTCTCTTCAACAAATGATGTTGGGAAAATTGGACAGCCACATGCAGAAGAATGAAACTGGACTATTTCCTTATACCACACACAAAAATAGACTCAAAATGGATGAAAGACCTCAATGTGAGAAAGGAATCCATCAAAATCCTTGAGGAGAACACAGGCAACAACCTCTTCGACCTCAGCCGCAGCAACATCTTCCTAGGAACATCACCAAAGGCAAGGGAAGCAAGGGCAATAATGAACTATTGGGACTTCATTGAGAAAAAAAGCTTTTGCACAGCAAAGGAAACAGTCAACTAAATCAAAAGACAACTGACAGAATGGGAGAAGATATTCACAAATGACATATCAGATAAAGGGCTAGTATCCAAACTCTATAAAGAGCTTATCAAACTCAACACCCAAAGGACAAATAATCCAATCAAGAAATGAGCAGAAGACATGAACAGACATTTCTGCAAAGAAGACATCCAGATGGCCAACAGACACATGTAAAAGTGTTCAACATCATTTGGCATCAGGGAAATACAAATCAAAACCACAGTGAGATACCACCTCACACCAGTCAGAATGGCTAAAATTAACAAGTCAGAAAATGGCAGGTGTTGGCGGGGATGTGGAGAAAGGGGAACCCTCCTACACTGTTGGTGGGAATGCAAGCTGGTGCAGCCACTCTGGAAAACAGTGTGGAGGTTCCTCAAAAAGTTGAAAATAGGGAGCCTGGGTGGTTCAGTCAGTTAAGGGTCTGCCTTTGGCTCAGGTCATGATCTCAGGGTCCTGAGATGGAGTCCCACATCAGGCTTCCTGCTCAGTGGGGAGTCTACTTCTCCCTCTCCCTCTGCCCCTGCTTGTGCTCTCTTTTTCTCTGTTAAATAACCAAATAAATCTTTTTTTTAAAAGTTGAAAATAGACCTATCCTATGACCCAGCAATTGCACTACTTGATATTTACCCCGAAGATACAAATGTAGTGATCTGAAGGGGCATGTGCACCCCAATGTTTATAGCAGTGATGTGCACAATAGACAAACTATGGAAGGAGCCTAGATGTCCATCAACAGATGAATGGATAAAGAAGATGTGTTATATAGATACATCTATATATTATATATATAAAATATATATAATATAATATATATTCTGTATATATTGTGTATATTATATGTAGTATATATATTATATATATAAATATATATAAAATGCAGATATCAAAAACCAAAAATCTTGCCATTTGCAACGATAAGGACGATAAGGACAGAACTAGAGGGTATTATGCTGAGCAAAATAAGCCAATCAGAGAAAGACAATTATCATATGATCTCACTGATACAAGGAATTTGAGAAACAAGACAGAGGATTAGAGGGGAAGGGAGGGAAAAATGAAACAAGATGAAACCAGAGAGGGAGACAAACCATAAGAGACTCTTATCCTCAGGAAGCAAACTGAGTGTTGCTGGAGGGGAGGGTGATAGGACGGATGGGGTGGCTGGGTGATGGAACTGGGAAGGGTTTGTGCTATGGTGAGTGCTGTGAATTGTGTAAGATTGATGAATCACAGACCTGTACCCCTGAAACAAATAATACATTATATGTTAATTTAAAAAAAAAAGACTGTCCTTTCCCTATTAAATGGTCTTGGCACCTTGGTCAAAAATCATTTGACTCTATACATGAGGGTTTATTTGTGGGCTTTGTATTTTATTCCATTGGTCTCTATTTTTGTCTTTATGCTATACCACACAGTTTGGATTAGCATGGCTTTGTAGTGAGTTTTGAAATCATGAAGAGTAAGCCCTCCAACTTCAGTGCTTTTTTTTTTCTTCCCCAGATTGTTTTAGCTATTTGGGACCCCTTGAGATTTTAGGGTGGATTTTTCTATTTCTGAAAAAAATGCCATAGGAATTTTGAAGGGGCTTACACTGACTCTATAACTCTGGGTAATATTAACACCTTAATAATAATTAAGTCTTGCCATCTATGAAAACAGAATGTCTTTCCATTTATTTACATCTTCTTTAATTTCTTTTAGAAATATTCTGTATTTTTCACTGTGGACGTCTTTCACCTCCTTGGTTAAATTAATTCTTAAGTATTTAATTTTTTTGATGGTACTGTAAATGGAACTATTCTCTTCATTTCCTTTTCAGATTGTTCATTTTCATGTACAAAAATGCAACTGATATTTGCATGTTGATTTGGTATCTTGCTCCATCCCTTGCTGTTTGTTTTTTTTTTCCTGACAAACATCTTTATCTAAGAAATCAAGAGAAGGGGTAAGAAATGATGGTAGCCACTTCACACCAAGGGATGAGACCAATTTAGAACTACTTGCCCAAGTTATTCAAGACGGGATAAAGTTCCGTGCTCACAGTTAGCACAGAAAATATCTGGTTATAGTATTTGTTTTTAAATGGACATTTACTAGTTCATAGTAAGATCCCACCTGTTACAGGAGACTCCCCACCCCCTTGTGTACAGCCTAAAAGCTAAGAATGTAAACTTTAAGGGAATATAAACTTTTGTTTACAATTCCAGAATTACAACTTGGTACTAGTATCCATAACTATCAACAGGTTCACGTAATCTTTAGTTTACTGTCAGAGAGAAAGGCAATATAAGAACATAACCCGTCACTTCGGTCCCAGCCTCCCATTTTACAAACATAGACCCAGGATTCTCGATTTATAGCAGAATCACCATTCCCAGTCTTTGACAGAGGCAGGCATGTGGCATTTGGGACTGCAAAAGCTGTTCACTTCAGCTTTTTGGGGAGTGCTATGTTTACCTCCTATATGGTTTTATAACATCTCTAGATGTATAGAAACCCATGAATGTGCTATCAGCTTCATTCCCTACTGCAGAAACAAACGTTTAGTTTTAAATCTCTCTACCCAAATAATGACAATGACCTTTGGTACTACATGTGACATTAAGATCAAGCTATCTGAATGAGTAAAGTCAAAAGCTCATTCTTAATTTTTAGAATAAAGATATTTTCAAGGTTATCAAGAGTTTATAAATAACACTGTTTACCAGTAACTATTGATCTGTTGACAAGCGTAAGAAACTGAATGTATTATTTTGAAACATATAAGGAATTTCATTAGGTTTAGATAAATTAAGACTTCAGGTAAAACTTTCCCATGCTGTCTAATCAAGTTACTCATGATGTACACGTTCCCGAGAAGACCCCATTGTAGTGACGTTATTTCCAAATTTTTCTGCATTCAACTTAAAAGGTGTTTCTTCCCAAGAAACTGAACTTTCCTGTCAAATGCTCTTGGTCAGATAGGAGAATTTGGTTTATAAAATGGATTCATTGCAAACTTTATGTAAAAATCATAGACATCCATAAGGAAGTTCTTTATTCCTTCTTCTTGCCTAAGCATAATAAATCTATTTAATAATAAATAAATCTATTTAATAATAATAACAACAATCTATAAGCATAATAAATCTATTTAATAATAATAATCTAATAAATTTATTATGCCAAAGCATAATAAATCTCATATGACATGCAGAAACAAACTCTGAAACAGACCACTCATTGAGCTTGTCGACAGATTTCAAGCCCGTGTTGTTGGAGAGCCACATATGCTCATCTACGAGAGCAGTATGAGCTATGAACGGGTTCAGATGACCTATGATCATCTTTGAATTCTGCTTTTCCAGCTGGCAAAAATTCCATTTCAAAAACTGGATTACCGTGGTGGCCAGCAATTATAAGGTAGTAGCTTCCAGACATTGTCTTCAAAACACAGCTCCTGCAGGGAAAAGCCAACAATGGAAACAGCCCCCATCCCTTGCTTTTTAAAATGTATGCATTGGGACTTTTCCACACAATCAATATTTAGACATATCTCATCATACCTTGGATAGCTTTTCTTTGCACGGATATCCTAGGCCAGACACCAAACCCCATGTGTTTTCATACCTGAGATGAGAATTGTTTTAAAGTGATACCTGCCTAATAACCTCTATTCTGCCTTTTGGCCCATAAAGCTTATAATGCTATCCGGCCCTTTAGGGAAAGTTTGTCAACCCTCCTTCTAAAATTCTAGGGTTGGCCTGCAGTCTATTAAAAGGCCATTTCAACTGTTTCCAATCTAATGCTATGAAAAATTCAGTGGGTTTTGCCCTCAGGTATATTTGTGGAGTAAACCATTAGTCAAGAAAGAACTGCTGGGTCAAGGGGTAGATGCATTTTTATTTTTGACAAATAATGCAAAATGGCCGTGGAAAGAAATCATAGCCCTCGACTTCTCATCAGCTGTGACTCTTCCCTACATGCTTCCAGTGTGAATTACTGATCTTTCTAAAGTTTGCTGTTCCATTGTTGGAATTTTCTTTCTTTCCTTTTTTTTTTTTTTAAGATTTTATTTATTTATTTGACAAAGAGAAGTATAGCAAGAGAGGGAACACAAGCAGGGGAAGTGGGAGAGGGAGAAGCAGGCTCCCCGCCAAGCAGGAAGCCCAATGTGGAGCTCCATCCCAGGACCCCGGGATTATGACCTGAGCCGAAGGCAGAGGCTTAACCCACTGAGCCACCCAGCTGTCCCCCATTGTTGAAATTTTCATTCTTTTCATTATAAGTTAGGTTGAGTACATTTTCTTACTTTTTTTTTAAATAAGATTTTATTTATTTCAGAGAGAGAAAGCGAGAGAGGATGAGCTGAGGAGGAGGGGCAGAGGAAGAAGAAGGAGAAGCAGACTCACTGCTGAGCAGGGAGCCCAACATAGGACTCGATCCAAGGACCCTGAGATCATGACCTCAGCCTAAGGCAGATGCTTAACTGTCTGAGCCACGCAGGCACCCCAGTTGAGAGTCTTTTCATTTATAAACTGCATGTTCTTATCTTTTGCTCATTTTTTTCCAGGTGGTTGGATTATTGATACTTACCAGCTCTTCTTGTTTTTAAATAACAGCTCTTTATATATTAAGGTAACTGGGTTTTTGTTGTATGAGAAGCAAACTTTTTTTTCCAAGTTTTTCATTTTCAAAAACTTTTTTAAAAAGTATTTTTTCCCTAAATAGACTCTCTGTATATAAGCGTAGCAGTCTTTTCTTTTATGGTTTCTGTATTTTATGTCTTACTTAGGAAGATCTTCCCTATTTGGAGATGATCAAAAACAACCCTGGACTTTTCTTCTGGTACTTTATGTTTTTAAAAGTACTTTAATCCATCTGGAACTGACTTTGGTGTAAGGAGTAAGGTATGGCTCCAGCTGGCACTCAGCTGTCCTGAAGCCCTTTATTGAATAATCCATCTTTTTTTCCACTGCTTTGAAATGCCACCTTTCCATATATATTTGGGTCTATTTTAGAGTTCTCTAATTTGTTCCATTGATCTGTACATTCATATGTTCTTTCAAATTTCTTTCTTTTTTTAAGATTTTATTTATTCATTTGAGAGAGAGAGCATAAGCAGGGAGTAGGGGCAGAGGGAAAGTGAGAAGCAGACTCCCTGCTGAACAGAGGGCTCGATGAGGGGCTCGATCCCAGGACCCTGAGATCATGACCTGAGCAAAAGGCAGCTGCTTAACTGACTGAGCCACCCAGGTGCCTCTAAAGTTTCTTTATTAAGTATAGTTTTATAATGCCTCTTATTATTTGGAAGAGATAGTTTCCCCTGCTAGCCTCCTTTTGTAGAATTTTCTTGGTTATAGTTGCATATTTTACTTTTCTTATGAACTTTAGAATCGGCTTGTCTAGTTTAAAAGTAGACATTTCTATTGAAATTGTGTTTTTAGATAAATTCAGAGAAAAAATATAATGCAATTCTTTTCTATCTGAAAATAGGATATGTCTCGCCATTCGTTCAATTAAAAAAAGACTCTTGCTAAAGTTTTAAAGTTTTGGTTTATTTAGATTCATTTTAATCAACTTTACTTCCCAGGTATTCTAACTTCAGTGAGTATTGTAAGTGGAATTTTTCTTTTATTGCATTTTCTAACTTGGTCCTTTGCACATCAAAAACCAATTGCTTTTTGTATATTAAATGTCAGGGTCCTCTTGCTTCTCCCTCTTCCTGCTGCTTCCCTTCCTTGTACGCTCTCTTTCTGCGATAAATAAAATCTTTAAAAAAAATAAATGTGCAAGTGGCCACATTACTAAATCTTCTCATTATTTGTTTTTCATTTGATTATCCCAGGTTCCCAGATATGCAGCCACATCGCCTGCAAGTACTGATAATTCTACTTTCTCATGTAAGTGAATCACGTTTACTTTTCCTCCAGGATCCATTGTAGATCCACACAAGGGGTTCTGGTTCTCTCCCGGAATCTGTCTATAGCGCCAATGGGCTCCGCTCTCTATTCTGGGTCCCGTGGCCTGATTTCCCACCAGCATAAAAGAACGGAAAATTGTTTTAAGCAGAGGAATGACAGGGTTGTATCCAGAGTTAGGATCGTGGATGTGCTCTGGCAGATGGCCGAGTGACCACCCCGTCTGAGGGAAGGGGATGGGTTAGCTGACCAGCCCAGCCCTCGCGGCGAGAGCGCCAAGCTACGACCCAGTGGCGGCCCCCTGCCCCTGGGTGCGATTAAGGAGGGAAAGTTGGCTGACACTTAATGAGCATTTACTAGATGCCCAATATGGCATCTTGAAGCCCAGTTATCCTGGCATCTTTGTCGGGCATTCCCAGATGACAGAGTCAGCTGCCCCAGTCTCCCAAGCAGCAGGTGGTGGTGCTAATGCTGGAATGTGGCCGCTGAATCCCCGTGGAGTGCTGGCGGCATAGACGGAGTCCCGGAGAGCTGCGGCTCTGGGAGGCTGCCACTTGGCCAGAGAGCCAGTGGGAGCCAGGGAGGAAGATTTCCACTTTGGGCAGGCCTAGTGGAAGTGGAAGTCTGACAGACAGATGACTCCGCAGGTCCAGGCTAGGGATTTGGGATGAGTCCTAGTTCCCAGACACACTGAGACTTAAGTCCTGCCTCACAATCCCCACCCGCAGTGGGGTCTCTGCTGGGTCCTAAGACATCCTTTCTGGAGCCCCGTGGATAGCTAACCTAAGGATCCCGAGTCATCATTCCTCCAGCTAGTCTGAGCCCAGCTTCTCCACTAACAGCCATTTCCCTGAGCGCTGGTCCCTCTGCCACACTGACCTTCCTCACTGCACCTGCCCAACCATTCCACTACTCACCAGCTGGGAGACCTTGGTCAAGTTATTTAACCTCTCTGGGCCTCAATCACCTTATCTGTCAAATGGGTAGGCTAACTGCCTCCTTCAAAGGGTTGTTATGAGGATTAAAGGAAGTAACATTAACATATGAGTTAAGTGTTGTTTAAGTGTTCAAACCACAATTTGCCCCTTCTCCTGGTGAGGGACGCTGGCACTGTTTCCAGGTGGAGGATGGTACAAGCAGAAATACTGAGAACATTCTTGCCCGTGACTTTGGGTGGCTCTAGGCACTTACCTCTCTTGAATGTACAAACTTACATGTGGACTTGTGGGCCCACAGGCTATGGCTGTGATCGGCTTAGGAAACTGTGTAAGGCTGGTCTCCCAGGAGTTTATATCAACTCACTCCTGCCCAGGGGTAGTGAACTTGAAAGCTAAAAATTTTTTTAAATGGTGAAATAATTCCTATATTTGAGTAGCTCAAAAGAGGCCTGGTATGGCTTGTAGTGATCCCAACGGTCTTTAATGTCAACAGAGAATTGGAAAATGCTGCTCAGGGAATATAATTTGCTTTCCATCTACTGATAGTAAGTAAAAGAGAGAAGTTAATTTACTCATCTAAAGGCCCAGAGAATGATGGAAACAAGCATTCTTTTGGGAGGAGGAAACAAGCATTCTTGAATCTCTCCCCACTATTAGACTATTAATTAAGGAACGGAGTGCTAGTCAGAATCTTGGGCTCTGAAGCCAGCCTCCTGAGTGCAGGTGCCGGCTGCCGCATCAGCTGGCCGGGCATCCCAGGACAAGGAAACAGACCCCTTGCCTCTGTGTCCTCATTTGTAGAATGGCAGTCCAGTAGGGAGACCTGTGTCATGGGGTGGTTGTGGGATTGAAGGAGATCTATGTGGAATGTTCAGAACAGGGCATGGCGTATCCTACACGCTCAATTAAACATAAGCTATTGTTTTGATAGCTTCAAAAGAGTAGTGATTGTTGAAAATAGGATTCTGGACAAAATGTATTCAGACAAACAATGCTGTTAGCTGCTTTTCCTTATTGCCACACAGACCTCTCCCAGCCAGAGCCCGGTAGTCAGAAATACCAATGGAGGGAGGAAGCACAGCAGGCGGTAAAAAGCCAGGGTTGTTTCAGAGTCTCTGCACAAAGGCTCAAGTTCAAGACTGGTAGCACAGTCTCTCACTCTTCCCCCTACAGCGGGTGGGCCCCAAGTCTAGTAAAGCAGTGCCTGCAGCCTGCAGCTGGCTGGGGGTGTGGGGAGAAGGAGGGTGGCTGTAGGCAGTCAGGTCCCAACCATCAGCGTGTGGGGTGACTGGTGGCCCTAAGAGCAGAGGCAGGACAGATAGAAGAAGGTGTATAAGCCCTCAGGCACTCCCATGCATTTGGGCTCCGGTCACAGCACAGAACAAACAGTAACTGATCTTTTACATGATAATCTCAAGGCATCAGGAAAAAGACAAATAACTTCAGGTCATGATCCCAGGATCCCTGGGATCGAGTCCCACATTGGGCTCCCTATTCCACAGGGAGCCTATTTCTCCCTCAGTGTCTGCCTCTTTCTCTGTATTTCATGAATAAACAAAAAAAAAAAAATTAAAAAAAAAAAAAGTTCAGCAGTCCTGAATTTACTAAACTTGCCTCTTCTAAAAAAAAAGCACAAAAAAACCCACTT